TGGTTCCTCGTCCTGTTCTTCACCATCGTGACTCTTGCTGTGGCTGATGGGACTCACCTTGGAGAGCCTCCCCGGTGGGCCTGATAGTGGGAGAATGCAGATGCTCGCACCAAGAATAACCTTTGGTTCCCCCCAGCCCAGGACAGTCTGCCTGTCGGAACACAGAGAGCCAATCTTTTCTGTTCAAACATTTACTGCTTACTTATTAACAAGTATGTACTGAGTCCGTTCTGTCTGTAGGAGTCTACCTTGTTGGCTATGGAAGATAAAGTGGTGAATCATCTATGATTTTAAGAACTTTATAATGCAGAAGGAAGATAAGACAAGCAGTTTTTGTTTTATCAGGCTAAGGGCCTGGCTCGTATGATATTATATCCTCTCCTCCTTTTATTTTTATCTTATTTTTTTATGTATTTTACACAGGGTCTACAGGGTCTCACTACACAGATCGGACTTGTAATGATCCTCCTGTTTTCAGCCTCCCAAGTGCACCATCACGCCCAGTCTCAGTTGCCATCTCTGTACGCCCCATGGGCGGGATGGCATGGCACTCCAGGGATTGAACCCCAGCCCCTGCATCTGCCTAAACAGGCGCTTTAGTCCACTGAGCTATATAGCTGGCCCCTTCCTTTGAAAAGGAGAAATAAAATGATCAGATGATCCTTGGAAGTATGAATTCCATAAGGTCTTCCAGGAACAGCAAAGCATGCGCTTTGCCAAGTACAGAAGCAGCATCAAGGAGAAAGATGTTGGAAAACTTAACCTTTTTCCTCAATTATCCACCACGTTTTTCCAGACTTCCACATGAAGTGCCTGCCGTGTTAGCTCAGCTGAGGTTCACTTGGTACTCTCTGTAAACTGCCTCAGTACTCAGGATATGTCTTCCTGCTGCTTCTGTTGCAGTCCTCCTCATGTCGTTAATCTGCTCTCATCCCTTGCCTTACCGTTTGCCCAACACTGCTACCCACAGTTCCAGACTGGAATTCCCAGCTGTCTCTTCCCTCCGCCTGGGCTCACACTGTTGTCTCCAATTGGCTGAGCTGGCACTACGCTGCACCCTCTCCTCTGTGCTCTTGCTGCCATTGTCTCTCTGGGAATAACACTACCTCCCACAGGTCTCTCTGCAGAATGTGAACACCACCCTTGACTCCGTGCTTCCCTTTAGGTTTGCCTTGCAAGTTTGCCTCCCAACTCTCTGCTGACTTTGTCCTCTTCTCTCTGGCCCTGTGCCTCAGTCCACTTTCTAGTCATCATCCATGAGCTGAGTCAATGAGGAAGCCTTCCTGGTGTCTCCAGATTGGCCTTACCTCTAACTAATGCCTCTTTCCTGCTGCCCTCAGAATGATCCCTCTAAAATGTTAATCTCCTCCTATCAAGGTTCTTAAAGCTCTTTATGGCCTCTTTAGGGGCCTTAGAGTAAAATCCAAATTCTTTAAGTAGTTTGAGGGCCCTTGGTGTGCTGACCCTTACCTGACTCTGTAGCTCCCTCTTGCTGTTCCTCCCATGGCCTGCTTCCTCTCTTGGCACATCCTGAGGGCTTTTCTTTCCTAAGTTGGTTATGTTTTGGCACTTGCAGGCTTTCACGTGTGCCCACTCTGTGAATTGTACTTCCTGTTTTTGCCTGGCAACTCAATTTTTTCACTACATCAGTGTCATGTCATGTAAAAAGTGCTCTCTTATTCTCTCCAGGGTAGGTTAGGTGCCCCTTTATGTGCCCATTGTATGCAGAAGTAAGTGGAGTCGACACATGATTGCCTGTTGATGGTTCTCTTATAAGGGCCAGGGAGATAGCTCAGCAGCATAAGTGCCTGCCTGGCAAGCGCAAGGTCCTGAGTTTGATCCCCAGTACCAAAAAAAAAAAAAAGAAAGAAAGAAAGAAAGAAAGAAAGAAAGAAAGAAAGAAAGAAAGAAGAAAAGAAAAGAAAAGAAAAGAAAAGAAATACACTTGGGAGTTTACGTAAACTGTAAACTTTAGGAGGACAGGGAATGTCGCATTGGTTTACCACAACATCTCAGGTTCCTGGGCTGTAGTATTATTTGTGTTGAGTTTTTTTCTTCCCCAGCTATTCTTGGGGAGATTTATGTTTATGTTTACAAACATACAACAGCATAAATTGTAGAAGTTCTAGTAGATGAGACTGACAGCAATGTAATTAGTTCAGTAATGTAGAATGTCTACATCTGAAAGAGTGTTTGTTTATGTGGAACTGTCCACAGTGTAGAACACACTGTAAGGCATCCACTTAGCATCAGGTTGGTTCGGATTCTAGCTCAGTCCACTTCGTAACACCGAGCTCTTGGGTGAGTCTCTTTCCTTGAATCCTGTTTCCTCATCTGCAAAATGAGAATATTCTATATCCCATAATAATTGCTGGGCTGGGGAGATAGCTCAGGAGTCTAAGCACCTGCCTGACAAGCATAAGGACCTGGGTTTGATCCCCAGTCCCCCATGCCATGCCACCTGGGACCCTGGGCACACCATACAGGCCGTCAAAACTAGGCATGGTGGCACATGCCTGTAATCCTAGTTCTGGGGAAGCTGAGACAGGAGGATCACTGTGAGTCCAAGGTGTGTAGTGAGTCCCTCTACCAAATCAATGAATGAATAAAAGATTTTTTAAAAAATGAAATAAAAAACATTATAATTGCTGATTTGCAAAATTGTGACTAAGTTGTGAAAACAGTTGCCCTAGTATCCGGCATGTGGTAGTTGCTTTCTGAGTATAATTTTTTTTCCTCTTCCAACAGCCATTGCTGAAACTGCTTTGGAATTTCTTTCAGAAATCACTTGACCCAGCGTGTCTGTGTGGATTCCACCTCTGTGGATTGAACTAAGTGCAAATAAAAACTATACCAGAAAAAAGTGTGTAGGCACTGAACATGAATAGGTTGTTCTTCTTACTATTATTTCCTGAACAATAGAGTGTACTGATTATTTCCATAGAATTTACCTTGTATTGAGTGTTACAAATAATGATTTTGACATTGGCAGGTGCTGACACCAGTCCCCTGGTTATAGTAGTCGGAGAGACTACTATATTTCAATGGGAGAAATCGTTTCTCTTTAAGAATGTAGTTGACGGGTGGGGGAGATAGCTCAGTAGAATAAGCACTTGCCTGGCAAGCACAAGGTGCTGAGTTCAATCCTCGGTACCGGGGGGGGGGGGGAGGGATTAGGCAAGAATGTAGTTGATTTTGGGGCCGGAGAGATGGCTCAGTGGAATAAGCACTTCCCTGGCAATATAAGGGCCTGAGTTCAATCCCTGCTTCTGCAAAAAAAAGAATATAGTTGATTTTTATAAACTATTCTTATTCTCTGTTCAGAGAATAAGATGAAGGTGGTTAATACCCCCTGGATATTAGATGTGATTATAATGGGAATTTCTTTTGTAGTATTTAAGCTGGTGCATATTTGGGCTTTCTCATGGGTGACATTGATAACATATTCCAATTGGCACATTAAATTCAGGGAATTAACTATTACAAAATCTTTTATATTTGAAGAGTACTCTGATAAATCAAGTGGTATTCATACACTCAAGAGACCTGAGTTCTTTCTTTTTTTTTTTTCTGAGTCCTTTAATATACTCAATTACAAGTTAACCACCGAAATTTTACTTCTAGTAACAAAGAACTTAGGAGGAGAGGTGACCCAAGGTGCCTAACATACACATTTGAGGCTGTTCTCTTTTCATCAAGGTGCATGGGATTCTGTGTGGTTGAAATGTAACAGGGACAGTGTCCTTTTGCATGACAGAGGAGCCACTGCCCGACAGAGATCTGTCCTCCGTTGTGGCAGGGAAACCTGGAAGCAAGGAGTGGAGATAGAGACAGGATTACAGCTTTTACAGAGGCCCGAAGTGCCTGTGCAAAAGGGCCCACGGGGTGACTTCACAGGACCAGGGATTGGAGGCCTAGGGAAATCAGCCTACTAGAAACAAATTTAAAGCAGAGCACGAAGGAGAGAGGCTGGAAGCCAAGTTCTCAGGGTCCTATGGGAGCTGGATGGGGTTTAGTGCCGTTCCGGGGAGATCTGCTGACCACCTTAGACAAAGCCTTGTAATCCAGAGGTTCCTGTGGTTTTAGTATGCTACCCCTTTGTTGCCTTTAGGGTCATAAGTGTGAAATATCAAAAATTATTGCTGTGTTGCCTACTTTTAAATATTTCACTGTTTTATGCCCAGAGTTCAGATCACCTTGGGGTGTACATGTGTGTAGTTCTTGTTGTTGCTGATGTTGAAATGATTCACTGGGAGCAGTACCAGGGAAAGAGCAAAGTTTGAGGATTTGTGGGTCTTGAGGAGGGGAAGAGACAGTGACACAACCCCCATGCCACCTGGCAGCAGAGCGGCAGAGCCATGTAAGCAGGTGGGGCCTGGGCCTGACCGCCAGGGTTGCCTGTGGGCCAGACGTCATAATAGATTGGTCTGCTTCCACTCTTTTTATCAAGTAGGGGCCTCAGAAGTACTGGTGCTGCTGATAATTTCAGTGCTGAGCATGACCACATATGCTTGTAGTGCCAGCAGTGGGGAGGCAGGAGGAGCACTGTGAGTTCGAGGCAAGGCAAACTGAGTTCAAGGCCAACCTGAGCTGCGTCATGAAACCCTGTCTCAAAAAGACAAAACACAGAAAACATGATTTCAAGGGAGCATTGCTCTTGGGTTTTGGGTCGACACCACTGACATCCCTGTGGCTTGTGTTCTTCTCCACGTGTACTGCCCTGAGCCGTTAGGGTGGTTCTGCAGCCTGACTGTGGAAGAAAAGCCATCAAGTAGCCATTGACTACAACTCGGGCAAAAAGCCACAGGTGGTTTATTTTTATTTCTTCTCATTCACCCATAATATTAGAATGAGATTTGCAAATATTCTGAAAATGTAGAATTCAAGGTCTTCACTCTTTTCCCTCTTTAAATTTCTCCTACAATTTGGCTTTTGGTCGTCTCTTCCGGGAGTTAGTTTTCTTCAGTGCTGTTAACCAGGTTGAAGTTACTCTCCGAGTGATGGCGGCCGTGTATGTGAGCACAGACCTGTATGTGAGGAAGATTCGAGAGCTCTGAGACAGTCAGAGGCACTCAAGTGCACTTAGGCCCCAGGTCAGAGACCTTTGCATTTAGTAAAAGATCATATTCTGAGCGGATGCTTTCATTTTTCCATGTATAATATTTGGCAGTGATATCAAAACATAGGAAATTTAGATAAATAAGTAATAGAAGCAACTGAACTTCAAATTTACTTCTGACAGATGACCTGAGTAATTTCCACTGGATAAGAAAAATCTGATATTTTTACTAGTTTTCTATTGTTGCCTAATAGATTACAACAAGCTTAGTAGTTTAGTACACCATAAATGTAACATCTCTGCGGATCGGAAGTCCAACACGCGTTTCACCGACTAAGAGCTGTCTTCCTGGGGGCTCTGCACGAGAAACCTCTTCCTGGCCTTAGGAGCTTCCAGAGGCTGCCACTTTCTTTGGCTCATGGCCCCTTCCATCTTCAAAGCCAGCAGCTGACCATTCTTCTAGAGTTCCGTCTGCCTCTGATAACAGGCAGGAAAGCAAGCAGCTGTTCTGTAAGGACTGGGTACAAAGGTTGGGTCCATCCAGATAAGGCAGGGCAACCTCTCAATCTCAAAGTCATACATTTTAATCATATCTCCAGTGTCTACTTTACCATGTAAAGTAACATATCCTCAAGTTCTAGGGATTAGAATATGGACAGTTTTTGGGGAATGGGCATTATTCTGCATACCCTAATATAGAAATGCTTAACATAAAATTTTATTCAGCAAATGTAAAAATTTCTAGGTACTCTGAAAATTTATTTTCAAATGCGTGCATGACTTAGACTTCCATTTTTATTTCTAGGGAAGAGATGTATATATTAAAAAACAAAAACTTCGCAAATTTTGTATGGGTCTTAGTCGCCTGTGAAACTTAATGTTGGTTCTCTTTTGTTTGCTTTGATAGTGATAACCTGCTAAGAAGAGCAGCCTGCCAAGAAGCTCAGGTAATGACATTTTCTGTGATAAAATTAAAACCTACCTTATCTCCACAGTGCAGGAAACCCTGCTACTCTAGAGAGATGCTCAGGGTCTTACATCGCTACTCCGGGGAGATGCTCAGGGTTTTGCAGTTGGCTGTTTCTCCTACTATCGGGATTCATCGGGCTGAGCGCCAGCTCTGAGTGGAAAGGGAGGAAGTTGAGCATCTGGCAGGAGCAGCCCTAACGCCCACCCCTTTAGGCTCGTTTACTTCTGGAACTCTCCCAAGCACACATAACGGGACGAGCTGAACCCCGGGAAATTGCTGATGTCTGCAATTGTCCTTGAAGGTCTGGCTAAACCCTGACTCATCTCTTGTCCAAGTAACCCCCAAAGATGTCAGTTCAGAGCAGGGGTTACTGCTGCAAGTTGAGTCTCCTTCAAATTGTTGATTCATGCTTAAAAAGCCCATGTCGGTAGCACAGCTGACTCGTTGCCTATGCACCGTTATCCTAACTTCATGACACCTCGCTGAAGCTTCGCTTGTCTGGGTGTAGTAATGATAGTTGAGAAGGACTTTTTTTTTGCTGACTCAGGCTGCCTTAAGGGCAGGTCTGGGGATCGAACCCCGGTCCCCTGCGTCTGGCTGTCTTTGCATGAGCTGCTGCTTAAACAGCTGAGCTAACCCACATTACTTACCCCCAATAAGTAATGATAGTTGAATTATAAATCCTCTTGGTTTCAAGAACACACCCCCTCATACCATATGCACACAGTACCTACAGATGAATTTCTGTGACTCAGTTTCTTTCCTGTTATGTCACTTAAGCTTCTGAGGGGAGAACAACCCAGAAGGAATCATGAAGATCAAAAATGGCAAAAGAATAGAACATCTAGAGAAAGCGGGCACTGTCCCTGATGTTTGTTTTGTTTTGTTTTGTTTTGTTTTGGCTGGCTCCGAATGCCTTCAGAGCAGGTTTGGCTGACTTGAGTTCTGGGGATCGAGCCACAGCAACCTGAGCCTGACTGTTTTGTTTAAGCAGGCACTTAAAGAACTGAGCTAAGGGGCAGGCCCCCTGATGTTTGTTTCTGATGTGTTTTCACAAGTGACAATGATAACAGATACTATTAGTATATTCCTCTCTTCAGTGATTGTGTTATAACTCTTCTAAATCTATAATTTAAGCATTTGACTTTGATTTTTGCTTGAAGGTTATTATCTTACATAGCTCCGGCTTGTTTCACAAATCAGCCTAAAGTTTAATTTAATGTAACTTTTTATTTATTTGTTACAGAGTCTCGCTATGCAGTTCAGACTCCTAGTGATCCTCCTAACTCAGCCTTCCCAGTGCTGGGATTATAAGCATGTGCCACCACTCCCGGTTTTCCAGGGCCAGTGTATGCAGGACCAGGGATCGAACTCCGGTCCTTGCACTTGCCAGGCAGGCACTTAGACCACTGAGCTATCTCCCCAGACCCATCAACCTCAACTTTAAAAAAATTTAAAATTATTTTTTAATTGATTCAAGATTTATATGTATGTTTGGATACAGTATAGTACTTTGACATATGTATGCAATGTGCAGCGCTTGAATCAAGGTAATTATGAAATAATTTTAATATTTACTAAGTTAAAGGTGATTCACACCTCCCAACATCCTCCCTTCCTCTTGCTGTTTTCAGGCCTCTTCCTATACCATTCTGAAGATTCTTTTTTTTTTTTTTTTTTTTTCAGAACTAGGGATTGAACTCAGACCTTTGCGATTGCCAGGGAAGCGCTTACTGAGCCATCTCCCTGGCCCCGAAAATTCTTTACTTCCTTAGCACAGGTTTTAGTTGCTTCCATATGCCAAAAGGAGGTAGATTTGTCCTTGTAGCCTTCTCTAATTACTGTGTTCTTTCAGCCTGTGATTTTTTAGTCTCCCGTAAGCTGAACTCAGTGTAGTCTCACATAAACTCCTTAATCCACTCTGAACCCGAGACTTGCAGTGCAAGTACAGAGCAAGCCTAGGTAGCTCTTTCTCAGATGGGAAGGGGCTCAAGAGATGAAAAAGAATTAAGATGTGTCATGTACCTGTAGCAGCCTCCCTCAGGAAGGTACTTATTGTGTACCACAACATGTACTGATAGAAAATAATGTAGGGGCTGGCGAGATAGCTCAGCAGTCTAAATCGCCTGCTTAGGCAAACTTAGGCAGGCACAGGGGACCATGGTTCAATCCCTGGCACCACATACCTCATCATCCCCACCTTCAGGGCTGGCTGAGCCAGCAAAAAGAGAGAGAGAGAGAGAGAGAGAGAGAGAGAGAGAGAGAGAGAGAGAGAAAACAATGTAAAAACTTGAGGAAAAATAAAAAACCTAAGACAAGGAAGAATAGTCTAGTACTTGAGATTTGGAATCTGCAAGCTCAGAGAGCTGGATTAGTCAAGTCATTTCTGGCCACATTCCAGAACAGTATAGATAGGGAAAGAACAAATGACAATTGTTTCGGATATTTGGCAACAAAATGTTATGGTCTAATTAAGAACAAAAATGGAATAGAAATGATTATGTACCAGAACTTCTTTACAAAGAAAGTATGTCTCTTGGAAGTAATCAGAAAGTTGTGTTTTTGATTTTTTTTTTTTTTAAGCAAGAAATGGTGGCAAGAATATATCTTTTATAGATTGTCCAGGAGATGGTAGATTTAGAGTGCCTTAATAAGATATCTTCATGTAATTTTCATTTCATCTTTACTATGTATGTCTAGAACTCTGCTGCCCTGGCCTAGACCAGCTCTCCACCGCCTAAGGCTAGGGTTTTTTTTCCTATTCTCATTCTTTTTGGTGACACCTCCCTCCAATCCAAACACTGTACATTAGCTCCCCTCCCTTCACATTTGAATCCTTAGTTCGTCCCCTGCCTCTGAATCGGCCTCACTCTTACAGCTGAGAGAGTAGTTTCAGTTTTGGAGCTAGACAAAAGTGAACCCAAGGCTCATCACTGCTGAGCTCTGTGACTTTCGGTATCGGAATCTTGGTTTTCTAACCTGTAAAGAAAGAGATTACTTAATACTTCGAGGCAAGAATGTGAAAGTGACAGATACCAGCTCCCTAGCAGAGACTCCTCCCATTTTTTTTCTCCTGTCAGTTACAACTGTTAGCCAGGGCAGCAAGCAGGAGGAGACACCTAGAGTTATGGGGTTGCCTTCTTGTATGTAGAAAGATAGGAAGGTCAGCTGCTGACAAAAGACTTCTCCTGAGTAAGTTTTACTGATAGTTAAAGGCAAAAAGGTTTTATTCTGAAAACTAACTGCACATGGATTAAACTTTCCTCCTGACAGCCTGTCCCCCACCCCTCTATATGTTTATGAGAAAATTAGCCATACTACATAGAGAGAAAAAAATCACAGTTTTTATTTCAATACAAAATTGAGCCTGTTGTCATTATATAGTGGTATGTTGTCTTTGTCAATATGCAATCACAAATGAATCTTCCTTTTTTCTCCAGACTAGATAGCATATCTAGTGGAAGTAAACTTTTTTTTTTTTTTTGGCGGAACCGGGGATTGAACTCAGGCCCTTGCACTTGCCAGGGAAGCGCTTATTCCACTGAGCCATCTCCCCGCCCTGGAAGTAAACTCTTTTGGAATGTAAGAATATCTATGATCACTAGCTGAATAGAAGGATGTTTGGGGCTGGTGAGATGGCTCAGTGGTCTAAAGCACCTACTTGGAACAAGCTCAGCAAAGCACAGGGACCGCGGTTCAATCCCCCAGCACCACATGCCAGCCAGCCCCGCCCCCTGGTGGGCTGAGCTGGCCACACACACACACATAAATAAATAAAATTTAAAAAAAAAATTATATAAAAAAAAAAAAGAAGGATGTTTACTGACAGCTTTTCTTTTTTCTTTTGGAGGTGTTTGGCAATCAACTCATTCTTCCCAATGCGCAAGTGAAGAAGGCGACCGTCTTTCTCAATCCTGCAGCTTGCAAGGGGTATAGTGCAGTTTACTTTTTATTTTTTTTTTTTTAATGTTTTCACTTCACTTTTTCTTTGCCTACATTCAGCTGTATAGTTCAGTGTATGATGTATCAATTACATATTCCAGTTTTCTTCTCAGGCAGCTAGTTAGCTTGTATGGAACTGTATGAACTAGGCTTGATACTGCTGTAGCAATAAGAGTCATTTGCAATGTGGAAATAACCATTAATGTGGAATAACTATAAAGCTAATTGACGCATAACAAGCCTGTCTAATTGGAGTTTAACAGTGATTCCAGAGTTAATGGGAACGAAGTCTGTGTGCTTAGACGCGGTCCCCCAGGAATGACTGTGGTGCCGTGTGGTGTAGACCACTGGGCTATCTCCGTAGAATGTGCTCAGGATGGCCAAGAGCGCTGTGGCTTTGGGAGGGCCGGGTGTTTACTCCCTTGAGGGAGACCTTTGAGGAGAACACTTCGTATTCTTCACTGAGGAAATGGCCCATGGGGCGGGGGCCAGAGACAGAAGTGACCTCCTGCTTGTTAGGTCACAGAACAGGCTATAACTCAGGGGAGGGAGCTGTCCGAATGACTGTGTGAAGCTCTGATGCATTGGATCAGTGGCTGGGTCACTCAGAAACGGAGGGTGGAGTAGAACATGATGTGTGGGACACCAAGTCTTTCCATGAAAACACCTACCACAGGGAAACACAAGCTTCACAGTGATGGGTGCCGCTCTCATCAATTGGAAAAATGAGTACAAAGACTTTGATGGCTTTCGGAGAAATCAGTTTTATTTTAAAAAGCCAGAACCAAAGAGGTGAAGGGGAAAAGGCTAATTTATTTATTTATTTATTTTACCCCCAGTATTCAAAACAACTCTTTTTGGTTTTTCTGAAGATTAAGTAATTACTAAACATGTGTCACATTGGGTCATATAAGTGGTAAAGCGAATAAAGACAAGGAGAAGAAAAGGAATAGTTGGGCCCAAGTTGTAAGGTTCCTGTTGTCTGCTGTCGGTTTCTCCAGGCCAGTGGCGGCGAACCTGTGGCGCGGGTGCCGCCGCCGGCCATTTGTGTCAGTGCAGCTTGAGGAGGTTCGCCACCACTGCTAAGCAGTTCACGGAAGGCAGTGCGGATGGCTTCACAGATAAGAGGGTGGCGCATACCTTTTTTTCAATTCAATAATTTAAGATTTTCATTTTATTTATTTTTTTTTTGTGGCTGGCTCAGCCCTCCCTGGGGGCGGGGCTGGCACCGCATTTGCTGCTGGGGAATCAAACTGTGATCCTGCGCGCTTGTGTACGCTTGCCTAAGAAGGTGCTTCAGACTGCTGAGCTATCTCACCGGCCTTAAGGTTTTTATTTTTTACCTACACATAAAGGGAATTATTCCCTGGCCTAATGGAATCATATTTTCTGGGCTTCATTCGAGCTCTCCACTTGCCCCGTAAACACACCAATCATGCCTTTCTTATTTTGTGTTGGGAATTCATTAAACTCAGGACCTTGTGCTTGCCAGGCAGGTGCTGTGCCGCTAAGCTGTCTCCCTCACCCCAGTCATGCCTTTTGAATCACTGTTTAATACCAGTGTTAAACAATACCAGCAAGTAAGTCCTGAAGCGACATGACCCGGGGAATTAGTGGTGGCCTGTGGAGAGACAGTGGAGAACTCAGCTGGGGTTTCAGACGTGAGGGGTCCTGGTCTATATTCTCTTCTGCTGCTCTAGCTGTAGGGTGCTGCAGGAGGTGCTGCTTAAATCCTCAGTTTACTCAACTGTAAAATAAAATTTAAAAGAACCAAAACAGTACATACCTTAAAAATGACCATCTAGAATAGATGGCTTAGTATTGAATACAATAATGTCTGTAAGTGTTAAGTGTTCTTTCTGCTTCGTAGCAAGTTCTGAGGGTAAGACAGAAGCTGCCGTTGCTCTTATAGACCCAGGCTAAGGGCAGCGCCTGCTGTTCTGTTCACTCCTCCCAAGAGTCCTTGTGTCTCTCCTTCTACCTATCCCCATGAACTACTGTGTTCCATTCCTTCAGCAATAGACTAAGTTTTTTTGGTGCCAGGAGTCGAGCTCAGGACCTTGTGCTTGTCAGGCAGGTGCTTGTGTCACTGAGCCATATCCCCAACCCTGGACTAAGTTATTTACTTGCTAATTTGTC